CGCGAAGGCCGACATGGGTCGGGCCGGGCCGAGCCAAATTTACAAAGAGAGTTATATATTTACCCATGGGGTGAATTCAGCGAAAAGGTTCGGCCCAAAAATGCTTTCAACTCGGGTTTGACTCTTTGTCGCCCCTTGGTGCGACGCCTTTAAACGTTGCCTCTAGGGATGTCTTAACTCGGAGCTGGGGTCTGGCGGAGTCTACATCACCCTTTTTCTCCCCTTACCAAAAAAAAACAAAAAAAACTTTGTTATATATTTAAATAAATTTCAATAATTATATATAGGAGCCCTTCAATTCAAGTTAAGAACTGGAGGACACTATTTGGGCCCATGGGGCTTATCACAGGTTCCGTTCCTTCATTTGGGCCCGTGGGGCTTACCATAGGTTCCATTTTGATGATCTAGACCGTTTATTTTGTCAGATACTTTGCGTATATCAATCACCAAAGAAATTAGGTTGATCTGATAATCGTAATCTATTCAATTCATTGTGTTTGTTACCAAAAATATGAATGACTTAATTTTTTGTGTGAATGAAATACAAAAAAAAAAATAAAAAAAGAACGATTCAAATTTTCGAAATGGAGCCGGTAGTGAGCCCCACGGGCAAAAAAAAAAATAAAAAAAGAACGATTCAAATTTTCGAAATGGAGCCGGTAGTGAGCCCCACGGGCCTGAACAATGCCCTTCAACAACATCATTTTATAAAATTATATATTCAAATGAGATCTTATTTGATAGATCTCATTAACTAGGTTTCAAAAATATAAATTTTTAAAAATATATATATATATGTACAATAAAAATTATGAATTTTTAAAGTTTAATATATAAAAAGGTACAAAATAGTCCAAAATAGTATAAGGGTAAAATTGTTCATAAAATACCTTAAATATGAAAATTATAATTTGGTAGATCAAATATCTAAATAATTAAACTCATTAGAATACAAGACTAAGTTATAGAATAATTGAGATACCAATACTTGAAAGATGATTTCTTAATAAATTCCCCTTTATGTAATTATAAATTTATCTTAAAATTTAAAAATAATTTAAATAAATGTATCTTAATCTATATTATTATTAAATAATCTTTAATATATTTATAAAATAATTATGATGTCATGGTTTGATTCGGTTTCGACTCAACGATTGAATCGGTGACCCGTCTACCTGATTTCTTTTTCGATTCACTCACCAACCCGATTTGTAAAACATTGCATGAGTAATGATTCCATATATATATACTAGTGTATACTCATGCCTGAAGGCACAGAGTAAATAAAAATAAGTGAACAAAAAAGAGAAAAAAAAATAAATAGAGAGGAAAATAAAAAATGGGGGAAAATAAAAATAAATAATAAAAAGAAAAAGAAAAGGAGAAAGGTAGAATCATAGGATCATTCATGGGATTATTCATGAGATTATGGGAGGGTGGGTGAGAAACCATCCTGATTTATTATATAAATATTTACATGTGAGGTAGATATTTACATGTGAGATAAGAATTGTAATTTTTCAATTTTAGTTGACATATAAATTTCATTTTAACATCTTTTTTTAAATTCAAAAATCAATGTACGGATGGGCTACTCTACACATCCGTCAAGAAGCATTGTCCTTTAATATCTATTGGCATATGTCGAAACCAACACCATATCTACTACATCAAAGCCGAAGCTAAGATACTTTTGGCCCCTTTTGCTTGGAGTTATAGAGAGGGAATTGGGATTGATAATAAGGTGGGACTCATTATCTTTGTATTTGTTTTGGGAGATGGATAGGAGATTCATAATTCCTTCCGCATTAGAAAAATAGTCCGTTGAACTATTTTTATTTTTATTTTTTACATGTTGGGCATTTTTTTTTAACATTAATGTTTAATTTTTTGTATTTTTTGTTAAGTAAAAATCATTGTTTTATTTGTTTTATTTTTTCTGAAATTTTTTTATTTTTTACATGTTGAGTATTTATTTTTTTTTAACATTAATGTTTAATGTTTTTATATTTTTTATTATTTTATATTTATTTTATATAAAAATAATTTAACAATCCCCTAAACCAACAACTATTATCAAAATAAATATAATTTTACTTAATCCCCTCACTATGAATCCCCTCTATTCTATTTCTGAAAATAAATGGAACTTTTAAATATTAAGAAATAGGTGTAACCCAAATAATCTATCACCCCTGAATCAAGGCATCATTGGTTAACACATTAGGGCCTCGTTTGTTTTGAGAATTAGATGGGGAATTGAGATTGGTAGTGAGGTAAGACCTACTAATATTATGTTTGTTTTGAGAGATGAGGAGGGGATTGATAGTGAGCTCCGAATTCGGATGAGCCTCCCCAAGGGAATTCGAATGGGCCTCCAGGACTTGGTATTAGAAAAATAGTTCGGCGGACTAGAAATTTTTTTTTTATTATTTTTTACATGTCGAGCATTTTTTTTTAACATTAATGTTTAATTTTTTATTTTTTTTGTTAAGGAAAAATCATTATTTTATTTGTTTTATTTTTTTGAAAGTTTTTTATTTTTTATTTTTTTTTAAAATTTTTTACATGTTGGGCATTTTTTAAAAAATATTAATGTTTAATGTTTTTGTATTTTTTTATTTTTTTTATTATTTTATATAAAAATAATTTAATAATCCCTACACTAACCACTATCATCCAAATAAACACAATTTTACTTAATCTCCTAACTATCAATCCCCACCATTCTACCTCTAAATTATAGTTTGAATTTGAGTTTAATACCCCTCCATTCTACCTCTAAATTATAATTTGAATTTGAGTTTAATACATTAGTTAAATTGATGTTTGAAGTATGAATTTCTGTAAGAATTTAGAAAAGAAAAGAACAAAAAAAGAAATGTAAAATATAAATAAAAATGTATCTTTTGTAGGATTTTTTTACTCAAATTTATATTCCAAATCCAGTATAAAAGGACTAAAATGTATTAAAAAAGTTTAATGATAAGTTTTGCTTAAAAAAACACACATTGGATTCGTGTGGATTGAATTTTTGATTTTTTTTAATCTATGTTTTTAATTTTTTTAATTTTTATAAAAAAATAAAATAATTATAAATTAAACGTGATATTTTATTCTATTTAATTAAAATTTTTTATTTTATCTTCTATGAGTATTTTAATCCCTCTCTTCATCCCAAACGGATCATTGTAGTGTTGATTTTTTAATCTATTTTACCTTTTTACGAATAAAAAATGTAAGAAGTGATAGAATCCGAAATAAATAAAATGTTGTATGTTTGGTAACGTTTACATTTTCAGTTTATATTTATAAAAGGTTTATAAATTAGTTTTTGTTTATTTTTTATTTATTTTTAAAAAAACATAAACTACAAACGCGTTTGGTAATTGACAAAATATTTAAAAAAATTAAAAATATAAAAAAGAGTGAAAAATGGCAAGTGGTGGCAAGTGGCGGCAAGTGGCGCGGAAGACGTTAGTGGAAAGTGGTGACGATGGGTGGTGGGTAGCGGGTGGTGGTGGGTGGTGGCAAGTGGGTGGTGGTGGTGGATGGGTAGGTGACGGTGGTGAGTGGTAGCGAGTGGGTGGTGGTAAGTAGTGGTGGCAGGTAGGTGGCAGATGGCAAGTGGTGGTAGGTGGTGGCAGATGGGTGGGTGATGGTGACGGGTGGTGGGTGGTAGTGAGTGGGTGGTGGTGGCGGGTGGTGGTGGTGGTGGGCGAGTGGTGGGTGGTAGCGAGTGGATGGTGGTGGCAGGTGGGTGGCGGATGGCGGGTGGTGGTGGGTGACGGTGGCAGGTAGTGGGTGGCAGCGAGTGGGTGGTAGTGGCAGGGGGGGGGCCGATGGCGGGGGGTGGGGGGGGGGGGTTGATAGTAAGGGGGTGGGGGGGGTTCTAGATCTCTGTGTGAAATTATATTTTTATTCAACTTCCATTTTTATTCAATTTCCAAATAAAAAAGGAAGTTGAATAGAAATAAAAATGGGAGTTGAATAAAAATGAAAATTGAATAAAAATGAAAGTGGAATAAAATTAAAAATGGAAGTTGTATAAAAATAAAAATGGGAGTTCATTCAATAAACCACTATACCTTAATGATCTATTTGGAAATTAAATAAAAAAAAGAGGTTGAATACAGAATGAAATTGAATACAAATGGAACTTGTATAAAAATAAAAATGGGAGTTCATTCAATAAACCACTATACCTTAA